ATTTCGAAAAAATGTGGTTTTGATGAAGTGCAAAAAAAAAATGAAAACCTCGAACGTCTCAACGAAGCTGCGGCCTCTGCAGCTACGGCATTAGCTTCGTCTTCAATAAGCTGATCATCTGCGATACTTCCGGAAAAAATCTGGTCATGCTGAAGAGCCGAAATCACTCCAGCATTTCTCAGTAGTTTACTGAGTACATAGTCATCCTGAAAATTTTAAAATTAAAAGCAAAAAAGGTAAAACAAATAAAGGGCACAACCGTTTTTCCCCGCCAACATTTTTACTTCTCCATGACCTCCGTAAACATTCTAGTAAAATATGCGAAACAGGACTTCATAATCACTTAGATGGTAAGCAAATACGAATAGCTGTTAGATTCAGGTAAAAATCGCCAGCTTAATGAATGCTCCAATAAAGGAGAACGACAGAGTGATAAAATCACAGTCGAAGAACGTGAAACTGAGAGCAAACATTAAAAACGAACTAAAATTGCGCTAAATTTGAGTGAAGCATTCCAGCATCGTGTCATTCATAATCTACAACCCCAGCAGCCGCAAACACTCAGTGATGATTTAACAAACAAACCACAAGTTTCGGTGGGAAACATCTTGGAAGGAAAATAACGTACAGGACATGTTCCTATCACGAGGCACATATCCAGTTACAAATCATTCACAATCCTTCCGTATTCGCTCCCAACGAGAGCCACTGGCACTTGGAAATTCTGAGGACAACAAGTGTCAGCAGCAACTACTGTCGACGATTTTCCTTTTTGGGGAGTTTGTTATGAAAAAGTTGGTGACAGAAACAAACAGTCTTACCAAGAAAATCTCAATATATCCAGTAAATTTGTCCTTCACAGCTATAGAATAATGATACCTGCACCGACGATCCTTCCGGTTTCTGTTCTTTATAACGCCTTATCTTTTTCAAATGTGGGATTTTGATATCAATCTCCGACAATCCCTCATCTTCATGCTGTACTTTTCGCTTCATTTTAGGCGTATCTGATTTCTCTTTGCCCCTCTCTTCGGATTTTTTTCCAATCGACCTAAATACATCATAACTGCATCATTTTCGCCATCAAAACCACTACTGGTTAATGAAAAGTTTATGCTGCAACCTCCCGAAAAACTCAAAGAATGATAAACTTAAACGAACCTGCTAATTTTCCGCGCAATCTCGCGTAGTTTTGCAATTTTCTCAGGCGATAAATATTTCTCAACGATAGCCTTTGCATCATCATCGTCGTCTGAGGTTGGCTCCCATACAGCTTGTCGTTTGGTCCCGGATGCTGCTCTTTTTTTCCCCTGCCTAAACGCTTTCTTGTTTCGAGAAAATGCTCACTTATTTTGAATGGCACAAAAAATATCAATATCAAAATACCGGGAAAGCCTGAGCAATATGGATATGAATACCACGTCAGTGATGCTAAACAAATGGCTCCAAATGCCAAGCGTAGCTAAGCCCAATCCTTCAATTTTGAACTGCACGGCTGCTGCTGCTGGCCCCCACCGCCTGTTTGATATATGTGAGCATAAAGCACTGCTTCAATGGTCGCTTATGCTCTCGTGGATGCTACTCACTGAACGCGACAATCAACGACTACTCTCAAGAAAAACAAAATGCCTTGCCCATCAAATTTACTTCTTTGAGTGCTTTTGCGGGGAAGAGGGGGGGGGGAGAAGTTATCGTTTTTTGCAAAAGAAAAGAGAAAAACAAAAAAAAAGGAAACTAACGCTTTTTCATTTTCATCAAAAAAATTATGACGTGTGAAAGTCTTTGCCGCGCCAGTTAAAATTGCTGTTGTTTCGGTTCCTTTTGTTTTGATCACGCTTGCATCACCTACAGTGCATGTAATACTATCAGTCCAGATAAAATGCCAGTACATGCTGATAAAATTCGCGTTTTTCCAAGAAAATCTTTCCGAAAGAAATCATAGCAAGACAGATATGTTCACTTTATAAAATAAATGGCCAACGCATGGGCTGCCCGTGCGAAGATCCGTTTTTTGCAGAGTTCCCCGCAGTTTTTGTTGCTACCGGCCTCGGTTTTTCGGTAGATGCTTCTA